CTGACCCTAGCTCTGGTGGTGGTTCAGGGGTATTGGAACAGCCTGGGAGAAGATGCCTCTTGCCCAGCCCTGTGGAGCCTCTATGGAGAGGCCCAGGAGGGTAGATGAACATAGGGGGCTGCTGGGCACTGCCATGCTTGAGTCGCCTCTCTCAGTTCAGTTCCAGGAGACCGGGAGGAAAGATGGCGGGGTTTTGGCCTGTTGGGATGGATGGTGTGCCCGCAATCACTGAGTGTGCACTTGTGTAGGGGTTGCCTCTGTGGGGTGAGAGTCGTGAAGGGTGAGCTTATTGAGGAAAGAAGGGCGTGCTGTGTACTGGAATGGGCGTGCCAGTTCAGTGTCCTGCAGGGGTGAGTGGGGCTGTGGACCACTGGGATGGTGTAGGCACCCTGGGCTTTGGGTGGTCTGGAGCATTTGGGGTGAGGATGTCAGAGGCTCAGGCCCCTGCTTGGTGCTAAGCCAGCCTCAGCATGTGCCTCCATGGCACGGGGATAAGAAGATGCAGGGGTTGTGACGATGAAGGAGGCAGCATGGATGAGGTGCTTCCAGCCCAGACAGACCTGGACCTGCTCTTAGTTTTGGTGGGGGAGACTGGAGGCCTTTGGTGGCTCCCATGCTGAAATCTCCCTCCAGCAGGGTGACTGTGTAGGGGAGCTGCCACTGTGTGTCTGCCCCTGGGTTGTCAGTCCCCATTAGCAGGAAGCAGGTGGGCGCTCCCAGCCAGCATGTGGGGCCTGTGCATGGTGGGCATGGTGGGCATGGGGTGCAAATGGGAGGGGCGGTTGTATTCAAGTTATGAGGTTTGTGTCTGAGGCAGAGGGACCATGCGTGTGCATGGGTCTAGGTTGTCTTGGCTGAGGTTTATGTGGATACCTGGGGATGTGTGAGGTGAAGACAGGTGCATTGTGTGTCTGTGAGTCCCTGAGGGGTACATGTGCAGTTGGGGGTGCACTAGCTGGGCAAGTGTGTGCTGTTCTGTGTTGGGCTATGTTACTCAAATTTCTGGTGGGTGTGCAGGCTGGGCTCACTAAACATTGCTGGAAATTGTGGATGTGTGTGTGTGTGTGTGTGTGTGTGTGTGTGTGCGCGCGTGCATGCTTGGTGTGCAGGTGTCTCTTGTCATCATGGGAGGGTGTGGTTTATCTGGAGGGCCACAGTGAGGGTCAGGGAGAGGCCAGCAGGGTCCTAGGGCATTTGGCTTCATTTCTTCTTTAAGGCAATGGTATATGGATCATTGTGCTCATTATGCAGGGAATCATGTAAATGCAGAGGTCATTTAGGGGTCAAAGCTGTTTGTTGCCTTCCTCCTCTGGCACTTTTTGTGACTTCTAAGGCTCATCCTGCTGATCACCACCCTCTTCTCTGTCCCCCTGGGAGCTGGAGCTACCAGTACTCTTAGGATGTCTGGGAGAATCCCCCACCCCCTCAAGTCCCAGGCATCCCCACCATTAAGTGCCCTCAACTTCCCAGGGTGAGCTCAGTGGCCACCCTCCCCTCCTGGCCTCATCTGGGGCTGCTTCTAATTTGGAAAGAATGTTCCCTGGAGGCAGGTTTAGAAAATCACTGAGGTAGCCTCTTCCCGCCTTCCTCCTATCTGTGGGAGGCTAAATTAAGATGTGAGAGAATTCTCCCCTCCACCTCTGCCTCCTCTCCTTCCCTCCCTCTCACCCAGCTCTTCCTCCACCCCTCCCTGTAGTGCCCCTCCACCCCCAGCCTCTCTCTGTCCCCTGCCTCCCCCTCCTCCATGATCTTTCCCTCTCCTGTATCCCTGCATCTCTGTGGGGAGCTGGAGCTCCTGGTCCTTAGCATGGAGGAGATGGTTGTCATGGTAACCGTTGTCATGTCAATGGCTACTGAGCTAGGGATGAATAGTATCTAGGTGAGAGCTACCTGAGTGGAGGCTGATGGGCTCGATGGAGGCCCATGCTTGTCCCTGAGCCTCAGAGCTCCAGACCCTCCACACCACTTCCTTGCGTGCCTGTGCCTGTGTGCCCCAAAGGCACCCCACACACTGCCTTCTGGGCTGCCTTTAGGTGAGTGTGTGGCAGCTTGTGTCTGTGTTCTCTCTGTGTCTCTGGATGTGTCATTTACAGGGTTCTGTAGCTTCAGGAGATGTCTTTTTGGAATCAGGGTGTTAGGGGCTGGCATGAGGCACTGGTCACTGAGGAATCTTGAGGACTCCCATGTTTATTCCCATTTGGTGTCCCAGGAACTACAGACCTCTTAGAATACCTCATATCAGCTAATGGCCTCCCAGCCACTGCCTGGCCTGCCTGGAAGGACAGAAGGACAATGGTCCCTGCTCTATCCCCATCCTGCTATGTAACCTCAGGCTTCTTAATGAACTGCTGGAGGGACAGGAGCAGAGAGTCCCAAGGGAGGCAGGTGGTGTGGGAGCCTTCCAGCTCCCTGAGCCTGGGTCCTGGGGGTTTATTCTGGCAGGGGTAGGAACTGGTGAAAGTTGGACGCTGGCTGCTCTAGCTCCTGGAAAGTCTAAAAAAGGAGGAAGACCCAGCGATTAGTCACGGGAGCAATTACCCTAATTGTTCCACTCCATGACTCACTGGTAGAAAGTAAATACTGATTAATTCATTACTTTGAGGCATGTGTGTGTGTGTATGTGTGTGTGTGTGTGTGTGTGTGTTCCGTGAGGGGTATCTCCTGGCTCCCTGCCCTGGCTGGGCTGGGGAGGGCTCAGGGACAGGTGCTGGAGGCTGGGGGCAGGAAGCCAGGATTGAAATCCTCTCTTGGCTCTGTGCGAACTCCAGAGGGCCTGTTAGTGGCAGGAGTGTGAGAGGTTGAGTGCAAAATGCTGTGCCAGTCCAGCCCCTCTTCTGCTCACACACCTATGGCTCCCCACTGCCAATCACACATTGCAGGTGCTCAAGCCCTGTCTGAGACCTACTGAACCCCTGCATTAAGCTTTCACAATATTCTGATATCAGGATAAAAAAATCATCAGTTTCCGAGAGAAAGTCACCAGCCGGACACTAAGCACCCTCTGTGGTTGGTTCCCACTGGCTTTCTAACTTAACTCCAGCCCAGCCCTGCCTCTCCCCTGCCTCACAGTCTATTCGTGTCTTCTAATTCCAACTCCATCCTTAACAAATATTTCTCAAAACCTGCTCTGTTCCAGGCACCTTGCTAGTTATGCAATTTTTTGTTTTTCCTTCCCTGAGTGTCTGGTTTTTTATGAGGGTTTTTTTCTTTTTTTTTTGGCACAGTTCTTCCTTCTATTAGCACCTATATTTCTTCTTTGATTTTTTGTTTCTTAATTTTTTTACACTGTTATTTTTTTGAATTTTATATTGTGTATATATTGGTTTTTGAGCATGGATGTCTTTGATAAGTCTTTTTGTTTATTCTTCATTTTATTTTTTTTGCTTCTCTTTTTCTCTTATATATGAATGTTTTTTTTATTTTTTTTTATCTGGTGTTTTGTTTTTTTTTTTTTTGTCTTATCTACTCTTATTTATTTCTCAGTTCTCTTTCTATTGTTTTTTTATGCTTTTTTATTTTTTTTTTTTTTTTTTTTTTGTAGCCTTTGAATTTTTGTTGTTTATTGTTTTGAGCAATAAGGCTATCTCTGAGCTATTCACTCTGTAGGACCCTGTCGTCTCTATAAACAAAACAGAGTGTGGTGGAAGCCGTAAACAAAACATGATGACAATATATAAGTGGGACATGGGGCGGGGAGTTAGGAAGGACATATGATAAAGTTGGTGGAGGAAGGGATTTAGGCAGAGGGAACAGCAGGAGTGAAAGGCCAGGGGTCAGACTGGTTCCAGGAGCAGGAAAGGGACAGGGCCATTGAGGCAGTGGAGGATAGCCCGGGAGGTTGGTGGGCAGGCAGGGCCAGCTGCAAGGGCTCTAGCTGCACCTCACCCTCGGAGACTTTGCTTGTTCTGCTCTTCTGTGAGATGCCCTTCTCTCTCAGTTTCAAATATTTAAGACCCAAATGCCATGCGCTTCCAGCCCTAGCATCAGGAGTTTTGTCCCCTTTCCCCTGAGCGCTTTCAGGGGTAGATGGCATCTGGGCTCAATCTGGAACCAGAGACTATGGCAGAGCAAGACCATGTGTGCCCCTCTTTGGTAGTCTGCACTCCTGCATTTGAGGTCTTTAGGGCTGGCTCCTGCCGGGTTGTAGGGTGTGAGGTCAGAGTCTGAGCCAGGAGCCCCAGGTTCTGACTCTGGGAGGAGTCATGGGCCTTCCCTGGAAGTGGAAGTAGTTGTGGGCCCTGAGCTGAGTCCGGGCCTTGAGCTGCTATTGGGCAGGTTGAGGCTGAGCTACTTCTTATTTGGGGAAGACCCAGGCCAGGCCTAGAGCTGGATCACAAGCTATCCTCTCCCTTCTCCCCTCTTGCTTCCCTTCTGGACCCCACACCTCCCAGCACCCATGTCCGTCTGATAGCACTCACTATGCTGCCCTTAGGAATTTGGGGTGCCACTTTGGGCCCCAAGCAGAGGCTGGATCTTATCACATCCTGACCCTTTGGTAACCTGGGACAGCTGGGCCTCAGTTCTCTCATCTGATTGGGCTGATTGAGGAGGACTCCATGTAATCTTGTCTGTGAGTGGGGCTGATGATGTTGGCTACGCCAAGGAGGATGTCTGTCCCTGTGCTGAGCACCTGGTGCATGCTGGATGTGCTCTGTATCACACGGCACTCGGCACTTGCATGCTCACAACTCAACATTGCTTGCTTTCCAAATAAGTAAACTGAGGCATGGAGGGATTAAATAACTTGCCCTGGGTCCCAGTTAGTAAGTGATGGCACTGGCTGGCCAACTCTAAATCTGGTTCTGCCACTCAGGGTTCTTATTGTGGAGGTGGAGGCAGCCAGGGTCCCAGGCAGGAGATAGGGCAATGACCTGGTCCCTTAGCTGATGAGACGTGACCACTGACTGGGCCTGCTCTCTGTTGACCATGTGGATGTCACTCTGTGGTCCCCAGGGACCTGTCCAGACTGCTGAACTCTCTCCCCGTCTCCACCCTCCCAGGCTCAGCGCTGGCGCAACGAGAACTTCGAGAGGCCTGTTGACCTCGAGGGCTCTGGGGACGATGACTCCTTTCCCGATGATGAGTTGGATGGCCTCTACTCAGGGTCAGGCTCAGGCTGTAAGTACCTCCCAGGGTCTCCCCACCTGTCACTAGCAGCCACTTTACCAGCACCCCACATCAGAGCCCACTCAGGCCCTCTGTGTGGAGGTCAGCATATTGTGGCTTTCAGGAAGGAGAAGGCAGAGTTCCCTTCAGGAAGGGGCCTTCAACTCCCAGCTCTCCTCGTCTCTGCCTCTTTGTGTGTGCTGCTTGGGTCTCTTGCAGCCTGTGCCCCTGCACCCCCCTCAGTAAGCCAGTGTCTGCAGCACTGCTCCAACCACGTGGAGCAATTTAGCAGACACTCCCAGAGGCATGGCAAGTCCTTAGCAGAGATGATTTGATTGGCCCAGCTTGGGCCAGGTGGCCCTCCTCAGGTCCAATCAGCTGTGGCCAAGGACATGGTTAGGGGGATGCAGAAGGGATGCTGGTGCCTGGGTGCCTGCAGGCACAGGGGTGCTGGCCCTGCCCTGGGGAAGGCAAGCCCATGTATGGATCAAGTGGAGCAGGGTGAGATCAGGTCGTTCTGTCTCAGCCTTGCCGCAGGACAACCAGCCTCTTGGATTCCTCTGCTCCTACCTGCAGATGGTGAGAACTCCATCCTCCTCTCCAGGATCAGGGGGGCTGGGGACAGGAAATCAAGTCTGGCATAGGGAGGGAGCTCTGGAAACAGTGTCTGAATGAGGTGGTAAGGTCAGCCCAGTGAGGGACCAGTGCAGTGTCTGATCAGACACAAGCTCTTCACGCTCCAGAACTGGCTGCCCACTGCCCTGGCCTCTGGTCAGCCCTCCAGCCTACTCCTTTAAGCCTCTTCCTTGTTAATCTTGGTAGAAACACTTCCCTAAAGGGTTGCATCTGTGCTCCCAAACCTCCCTGCTCCTGCCCCTACTCTGCCTGGTTAGTCCTCAGCAGCGGGCTGGGCTGTGGCTTCTCTCACCTTTTCCTCACCCTCTCCTTGATTGGTTCTCTCATCTCTTCCTTCCAGCTTCCTTGCCTCATGGCCCAGGCCCTTTCCTGTAGGAAGGCTCCTTCCATTCCCTACCTCTCCACTTGCCTTCTGCCTGTGCCTCTAGGGGTGACCTAAGTGTCCCCACTGCCTTGAGCTCATGCTGGGTATGCCTCTAGGCATAGAGGTATGACTCTTCCCAGAATAAATGTCAGGCCTCTTCTTCATTTAAGCCCTCCTGAGATGTGCAGCCAGGGTGGCCTTGGTTGCTGCAGCCAGGACTCAACCTAATATACCAGGCAGAGTAGACTGGAATAGTGGGGTGGGGGGGCTTTCTGAAAGTGGTAGCCACTGAAGAATTTTGGTGAGGCTGTGGGTAACGTCAGCCAGCTGGTGGGCTGTGGCCAGCTTTTCTCGTTTCCCTCATGCATTCCTGGGAAACATTGGGCAGAGAGGGTGGGACATCTTGCTGTGGAGACCCTGCTTGCCTGGGACCCCCATGATCCTCACGATCACCCTGCTCCCTGCGCTCTCCCTCTCCCCATCCCTCAGACTTCGAGCAGGAGTCGGGTCTCGAGACAGCCATGCAGTTTAGCCCTGATGTGGCCCTGGCCGTGCCCACTGCGCCTGCTGTGCCACCCACCACAGACGTCCAGCCCATGGGCTCTCCATTTGAAGAGCTGCCCTCTGAGCATCCCAGCCCAGAACCAGTCACCAGCCCTCCAGTGGTGACCGAGGTTCCAGAGGAGCCCAGCCAGAGAGCCACCACCATCTCCACCACCACGGCCACTACCACTGCCACCACCACAGAGGCCCCAGCTGAGGCCACGTCACCCACCACAACAGCCACCACTGCTCCCAGCACCCCTGCGGCACCCCCTGCCACGGCCACCACTACCATCCTAAGGACCACCGGTATACGGAGGCTACTGCCTCCTCCACTGACCACGGCTGCTACAGCCCGGGCCACCACCCCAGCAGCACCCTTGCCACCCACCACGGTGGCTGCTTTGGACACAGAGGCCCCAACGCCCAGGCTGGTCAGCACAGCTACCTCCCGGCCAAGAGCCCTTCCTCGGCCAGCCACCACCCAGGAGCCTGATGTCCCCAAGAGGAGCACCCTGCCCCTGGGGACCACTGCCCCTGGTCCCACAGAAGTGGCTCAGGTGAGGATATTGGGAGGGGCCAGGGTGTGAGAGTGGAGGCGATGGATTGGGTGGGGCTAAGGAGACTCTGAGATGAGCTAGACAAGGGTTTGGGGGTCCAGGTTGCAGGTGAGTCACCAACATGAGGATGGGTGCAGTTGTGAAGGTGGGAGTGGACAGAGAGCAGGGGTGGGTGGCTGGTCCTGATGTTAGCTGGAGACATTGGTGGGGAGGGAACTAGGCGGATGTATGTGGGGCAATGGGAAGAACTGGGCCCAGTGTTCTGGTTAGGAGCACAGACTTGGAGCCTGGCAGCCTGGATTTCAGTCTTTTTGCTGCCACTTTTTAGCTTTGTGACTTCAAGCTGGCCACAGGTCCTTTCTAAACATCCATTTCTTTATTTGTGAAAAGGAGAAAATAATAGAAAGTCTATCAGTGTTGTGAGAATGAAATTTCCTGACATATCCAAAATGGTGATAGTTAATAAACGAAATAAATGCTCAGCTGTTGTCATTGTCACCATCACTTTTGTCATTCTGAGCGTGAATGAGTTCAGAGCTACAGGAGAACACTTCAGCTCACTCATGGAGTGCACCTGGTATCTGGGCTCTGTCAGAACTTTTCCTGTCTTTTCTGCCCTCATGCCCATCCATGGGGCACTGTCATCCCTCCCTTTACAGATGAGACAACTGAGGCACAGGAAGAGGAAGACACTTTTTGAGCTTCATAGCTAGTAGCGGAGTTGGGATTCAAACCCGGGCCATGGCTTCCAAGGCGGGCAGTCTACGGGGTGTTCGTGTGTGTTTGGGGCTTTAAGAAGGGAGTGGTACTGAAAGGAAGATGATGGTGAGGATTGCCAGGGACAGATGGGCATCAGAGAAATGGGAGCTACAGTCTGACCCATGTGAGTGCACCAGGCACAGAGGGGACACGGTGACCCTGGATGGACACCAAAGCCCTCTGCTGCTGGCATCACAGTGGGTCTGGAACCATGAGTTGTCCTCCAGTAGTGCCAGCTCCTTTTAGTCCCCAGCCAGTCCTTGCAGGGTACAGGCCCTTCCCTCAGCTCAGCTCTCTGAGCAGTAGGGCAGCCTGGTGTTTTCATGAGATAGAGCCAAGCAGGAAGGGAAAATAATGGCAGGGCCTGGAGTTGGAGCCAGAGCCCAGGCCGCAGGTGCAGCCTCCATGAGCTGCCTGTCCTCGCCCAACCCTGGTCCACCCTTCCCATGCCCCCCTGCAAAGCAGCTGCAACCCTTCCCTGACAGCTCCCACAAACTCACTCTGGTCTCATGATTCCCAGCTGGAGTGGTCTGGTGTGGCCCCTTCCTTCCAGGCTGCAGGGACATCACATTCATGGTCACTGGGCTGGGTCCAGGGACACCACTCCCAAGGGTCTCATAGTCTTGGGTTGACTCCAGGCTAAGGAACTCACTTCTGCCTCAGGCATGGGGACTGCTTGTGGGGGACAGGTCCAGCCATGTAACAGCTGCACCCTGCATTCAGTCCCCAAATGGCTTTTCCATAAGAATCCCCCAAGGATTGTTCTCAGGCAACCAGAGGGGAAACGATGGGGACAGGAAGAGAACAGGATGTAGGCAGGCTGAGAATGGAGGTGGCCTGGTAGAGTATTAGAAACGCAGACTCTGGAGTTGGATAGATCTAGATTTTAGTTTTGCTGTCTGTGTCCTTGGGCACATCACTTAACCTCTCTGAGCATTTTTCCTACTTTGTAAATTGGGGATGCTGATACCTCCTTCATGGGGACAATGCTGTAGTGTACTGCTTACTAAGTATGGTGAGAGCTTAGTAGGTACTGCCCCACTGGGCAGTGGAGTGGCGGTGTGGGCTTGTGTGTGGGGCTACCCAGGGTGCTTGCCCTTGACCCCTAGGCTCACAGTACCCTCCCTGCAGACCCCAACTCCAGAGTCTTCCCTGACCACTCTCTGGGATGAGCCAGAAGTACCAGTGAGTGGGGGACCCAGCGGGGACTTTGAGCTGCCAGAAGAAGAGACTACACAGCCAGACACAGCCAATGAGGTGGTGGCTGTGGGAGGAGCTGCGGCCAAGCCATCAGCTCCATCCGGGACACTGCCCAAGGGTGTCCGCCCGGGCCCTGGCCTCCTGGACAATGCCATCGACTCAGGCAGCTCGGCCGCTCAGCTCCCTCAGAAGAGCATCCTGGAGCGGAAGGAGGTGCTCGTAGGTGAGGCCTGGGCCCTGGACTTTGCAACCTGGGAGGAGCTTTGAGCATCATAATTGGGCCTCAGTTTCCCTCTAGGAACCCAGAAGGGGAGAGTCAGTGCATGGGTTTCCTGGGATCCAGATAGAAAGAGGAAGCCAGGGGCTCTATCCCCCGGAACTTGCCCCCCTGCCCCTCCTCTGACCTTTGCTCTCCCAAGTCCTTCCAGCACTTTCCTTAGTGCCTGCTGACCTTCAGCTTTCCTCAGTTACCCTCGTTGAACCTGTGGAACTTCACTTCCTGGGTGCTAACTTCTGACCCATACTTTGGTTCAACCTTTCCCAGCCTTGACCCCAGACCCTGAGGACCTGTCTCTGTCACATCTGTTAAAAGTGTCCTTAGATTTGTAGTCCAGTGCTGGCTCCTTGTTGAGGAGCTCTGCCGTCTCTCTGGGCTCCCTTCTCACATGGAAAGTGAGGTGGGCATTCTGTATTCGATCCATTCCGAGGTGCCCATCTGTCCAGAAGCTAAATTCTTTGATGGGGACCTGCCATAATTCAGTGGGCAGAGTGTTTTCTAGTGGTTATGGAATAACGGTTCAGGGTCCAGTGGATGGTGTCTTATATTTGGTGAGGACCGAGCGCCTCCCTCATAGGAGGAGTGAGGTGTGAGAAGACAGTGTTAGGTGATGAGAATGGGGCCAGTGAGGTCCTGGAAATGGTAGCTAGTGTTGTTGCCAACTCTAGCTTCACTGGACTCTAATCCTAGATTCAGTATCCCCGCCCTGACCCCTACTCCTGGGCCCTTGACCCTCCCCAAACTGTGCTTCTGGAAACAGGGACAATGTGGCTTGACCTCTGCCTCTTCCTCCACAGCTGTGATTGTGGGTGGTGTGGTGGGTGCCCTGTTTGCTGCCTTCTTGGTCACACTGCTCATCTACCGCATGAAGAAGAAGGACGAGGGCAGCTACACGCTGGAGGAACCCAAGCAGGCGAGTGTCACGTACCAGAAGCCTGACAAGCAGGAGGAGTTCTATGCCTAGCGGAGCCACAGTGCCTCCTGCAGCCTCAACACTGACCCCCACCCAGTCCCCAGCCGGCCCCACCAGACCAGGCCTGGGACTGGGCCCAGGAGGGAGCCCAGCCCCTGTTCCTCTCTGCTGTCCCTTTCAAGGCTTGCCCAGGCTGTCAGCATCCCACAGATCGTCTTTGAAGAACAGGGGTGCTGCCACCTGCCCCAGACAGTGCCCTTACCAGCTTGTCTCTTGTCCCCAACCAGCCTGGAGCTTCAGGACCTTTTATGTCTGATGGACAGGAGGAAGGAAGGTCCTGATTGACTGGTGGAAGCAGGGGAAGGGCTGGGAATGGATAGCCTGAGGCTCCCCCTGGTCCCCACAGGGCTGGGAGAGCTCTCCTTTGTGGGGCAGAGAAGCAGTCGGGCTGGTTTCCAGTGGCAACTCAGTTCTTGAAATCATCCAGACCCTGCAGCACTTCGCTCCTGTCCCAGGGCCTCTCTCTGCCTGGGTGGGAGGTGTCCTTTGCCACCAGCCTACCCTGGTTGTGGGATCCTTGTTTCCTCTCCCTGCCCAGTGCACGTGTGCATCTTCCCTTGGGGAAATGTCTTCCCAAGAGCACAGGGGCGGCTGGTGGTGAGGAGAGGGGACTCCACACAGACGCCATCACCCACTGTCAGACACTACCATGCTCTCACACACAAGACAAAGTCATATGCAGTCCTGTCCGCCCAGCCAACCAAGACATGCCACTGCCACAGACACGCACCTTTGAAGGATTTTACCTTCACGCATTGCTTGAACACCCAAGACATTTCTGCAATGCTAGCCACTGGTCATTGTCACAGTGTGGCCTCCTTCTCTCTCTTTCCGCCCTGCACAGACACACACTCTGGCAACATACACTCCAGCTTTCAGACTCACTGGGGAAGGTGGAATCAAGCTGGAGCAATCAGCCCACATTGGGTCCCCGGATTTGCCCTGTTCCACTCAGTGCCCCACCATGACACCCACACCAGCCACACTGCCCCATCCCAGCCCGTGTCAGATGTAATCATACAGTCACTCCATACAACTCACTCTGATGCTGGAGGTAGACAGGTGAGCACTTGCCTTTCCTGGAATGTGTGGGGAGTACTGTCACAGCCTTCCCAGGGCTCTGAGCACCACAGGCCTGGCCTCCCCCCTGGGCTGCTTCCCTCCCCATCACCTTGTAGCCCACAGGGGGAGGCTTAGGGCCAGCCCCCACCAACCATGACTGTGGGGCTTCTCCAAGGTTGAAGGAGGATGGGTTCCTGTAGCTTGGCCCCGTCTGTGGAGGGAACTTGGATCTCCCAGGACCAAAGGCCCAGGTGGGGGAAGGGGGGGGGGATATGGTTTGGCTCCAAGTCTCCCTGCATCCCCTTCCTGCTCTGAGCCAGGGGCTGACTCTGCCTCCCAGGACACAAGTCTCCAAAGTGCCTGTGAGGGTGGGCCTCTACCAGGGCCCTATGTACCACTTATGCTGGCCTGCCCAGGTCGACCTCAAGCCCACCCACCCGGGGCTTCCCTGTGGACACCTCCTAGCCCATCTGAACAAATGGTTCTGCAGTTCTGGCCACAGCTTGCTGGACCCCCAGCTGGTAGCAGCCCACCCCAGTCCCCCAGGTCCCAAGGACAGATTTGATGGACCAGAGCAGGTGACAATGGTGGTGGTGGTGGGGGGAGGGGTGTTGTCACAGGACCCAAGCCCACCATTCCTTTCTTTGTTACTTCTGCAAGTGGGGCCATTTCATAAATACTTTAAGCATGGAGTCACCATTCTCCTTTGGCGGGGGGACTGGATGGGGTGGGGAGGCTGCCTGGCAGGGGTTCTTGAAACTGAAGGGATGTGGTGTGAGTTATGATTGGCCGGTGCCCCCCACCTCTCACTCATCACTCAGATTCACATCAGGAGCTTCCCCGCTCCCAGTTTACTTCTGTTCTTTGTCAAGATTCCCTGGCAGCAGACTTGAGCAGGGTGAGGGGTGGGTGCCTGGGGCTGTGAGTCCAAGGTCCCCCATCAGGGCAGCTTGTATTATCCAGGCATCCATCTTGTATACCCCTGGACATCCTTGTTGGACTCAGAGCTTTGTAAGAAGGTCAGTTGGTCCCAGCCTTTTTTTTGGGGGGGTGGGGGGGATGAAGATTGGGGATGAATCCTGGGACCAGGAGTCCTAGAGGAGGTGACTTGGCCTGAGTCATCCCTGCAGCTTCAGGACAGGGCATGGGGAGTGGAGAAGGACCCAAGTCCCAGTCCCTGCTCCCTGGTGGGCTGCTGTCTTGGGGACTGCAGCTCTGGTGAAGGCCTATGGGGGCCAAGGCAGTGCCTGGGAGCATGGCACTGGGGAGGGAGACCCAGCAGTAGGTGAAGCCTCTGCATTGGGCTGAGGCCCATTTCTCACACCCTGTTGCTGGCTCTGGACTTGGGGCTGTGAGCTCTGGCCCTCTTTCTCGTCCTCAGCATTTGAGGGAAGAGGCTGACGGCCTTTGGCATGGAGCCTTTGACCCGAGGCCATATCCAGGCTTTGTCCATGTGAAGTTTAATGTCTGACAAGCTCAGATCCACTAGGCCAGCCTGTCTGGCAAGGCAATTCAAGAGAGGGAGCTGGTTCCAAGGATGAGCTGGAGCTCTCCACAGTGCAATGTAGGTGCAGGGCCTTCACCCCAGGTATGGTGCGGTACATTCAGGGCCTGGCCAGTGGGTTCACAGACACCCCAGTGCTTCTTAGATGGTGTCCTGGGGGCACTGGCATTTCCTGGCAGCACAGCACATTCCAGATGAGAGGGAGTTAATGTGGCTTGAGAACTCTCTGGGCCTTGGCTTCCAGAGAGCAAGAGGCATGCTGGAGCCAGAGAAATGGAGTGGGGTTCATGCTTTGTCTCTTTAGGGGGCCAGACAGGGGACTTCACCTGAAAGGCTGGTTCCCTTGATCGCTGGGCTGGGCAGGCCTGGTGCATGGGCCAGACCCCTAAGGTTGGCAAAGATACCGAGTAGGCCACTAGGCAGGGGCCCCATGCCCTAGGGAGAAGGGCTGATTTTGCCTCTTTGGCAGCTTCAACCCTGGAAACTTGCCTCCCCAGGCCTCTTGTGTGTAAATAGAAGCCTGTGAACCATGTACAGATTTACAGAGACCCTAAGACTGGGCCCTGGAAGTCACCATCTGAGGGCCGATGGCCCCATTATCCCCCAGGTACCTTCCTGGTACCTCTGTGCACCTGGCCCAGTGTGGTAAATGCATGTAAATATTTTTCGTAGGCAGCGTGGCTCCAGAGAGCCCCCTGAAGACAGTGTCCCCCCGCTCTGGTGCGTCCTTTCTCCTGTACAGAGCCCTCCCAGAACCTGGCTCATGGTGGGTGGGAGTCTGTCCTTCCCTCCCCCAGGCCTTCCTTTTCCTTTTTCTCCCCAGAACCTGTTTATTAACCATACCTGTCCTGAGTTCATGGCCAAAACTTAAGTGGAGGAAAGGCAGTGGACAAAGAGACCAAGGCCCTGCCCTCTGTGGGTGCTCACCTGTCCCCACCTTGGGAAGGAGCTGGTTTGGTTTTTGTTGTTTGTTTTTTAACATTTCCTGTGCTGTGCCCATTTATAAGAGGAAATAAAATTAAGCTGAAAGTATGCATTGTGGCCAGTGTGAGCTAAGTATGGAAACTGTTCCCAGGGATGGGGGGAGGGGGAGCCTTTGGTCCCTCTTGGCCTCAGTCACTTTCCCTTTCTAGGGAAATTGAGAACCAAGCAGGGAAAATGGACCAGCAGGCCCTTGTGGGAGCCATTATGGTAAAAGCTGCCATTGGTTGAGTGTTTGGGAAACCACAGAGCTGAGTGTGGTAAGGCCAGGGTGGGGCTGTGGTTGGGCAGCTGGCAGGTTGGGGTGAGGGCTGTGGTTCACCCCCAGGGAGAGAACTCTGCTTTAGGCCACAAAGAGAATCTTATTGGAACCAGAGCTGCCAAGGCATGTGGCTTTGGGATCTGACAGACTTGTTTTCACACCCACGTGGTGACATTTTCCAACTATGACTCTGGGCAAGCTGCTTGGCCTGAGCCTCAGTTTCCTCACCTGTAAAACGGGATGATAGTATCTCTCAAATGGAGGGTGGTGAGGAGGACATGAGGCAGAGGAGGACTCTGCTCATGGCGTATTTGATGATGGAGTTAGGACAGAGCAGAACCAGGGTACAGAGTTTCATGGCCTGGATCCCATACTCCTGGCTCACAGAGTACAGGACTCAGAGGGCCTTTTACCAGTCTGGCTCTTACTGGGTGTAGAGCCTTGATGGGCTTCTCCCAGCATCTGTGGTCTGGACACTCTGTGGCCCCGAAGCCTGGTTCCTTTTCAGCTCAAACCTGTCTTGCCCATATTGCCTTCTGCCAGTGCTCGTGCTTCTCTGGTGCATGTGGAGCTGTTGTGCCCTCTGCCAGGGAGTAGCTCCTAGGCATGGGTGTCATGGTCACAATCTTCCCTAATCCAAGGGAAACTTCTCTATGACCCACAAATATTTCTCCTGGAAATTTCTTCCTCTTAAAATGTGACACACAGGGCCCTGATGGTCCTGGGGTGGACTGGAGCCTAAGGCCTATGGGTTTGCTCTCAATCCCAGTCCTCCCACTTACCTTTCTCCCTCCTCCCCTTCTTCCTTCCAATGCAGCTTTTCAGGCGTTCACTCTGAGCCTGGTCTTTGGGGGATGAAACACGGCCAGACAGATCCAGCCTGACCCTCAGAGCTTGGACAGTCTAGTGGGGACACAGACCATGTCCAGTCTCATATGACCAGTCTGAGGTGGAGTCTTTCCTTCTCAGCTGCCAGCTACTCCCCAGGAACAGTCCTCCCCTGGCAGTTCAGGAACAGAGTCCTAAGGCCCAGAGCCTCAATGTGGGACCTAAGATGGCTTGTCACCTTGAGCATCTATACATACCTATAAAACAAGCCACACCTGCCACTGGGTGCTTCTGACAGAGGGCTGGACCATGGTTAGAAGCCTGCTTTGATGAGAGGGATTGGTTTACCAGATTAAAAGCCTAGTGCATATGGCTATTCATCCAGGAAGCTTCTGGAAGGTAATGCTCCCCTTCTGAGCTCCTTTAGCCCATTGTCTCCTACACATAACCTCAGCTGAGTCTGAGCGATGAGCATTTTTATTCTCGCCTCAGAGGACAGACACATGGCCTTGGAGCCAAGTAGATGCAGCTGTGTGCACTTGTGTGCATTGCTCTACCTCTCTGAGCCTCAGCATCCCCAATGCAAATGGGACAGGAAGGTTGCTATTTGCTGGCTGTTGAGAGGATTCATTGAGATAATATATTGGAAGCAGCTAGCATGAAGCTTGTTCTCTGCAGCCATCAGCGGTAGGACTTCAATTCTGTTACAGTATCAAGCTTTAACCAAACCTTTGCTCAAATCCCGCTCTGCAAATCCCAGCTACATGACCTTGGGTGAGTCGCTGCAATTCAGTGCTCAGCTGCCTCACCTGCAAAGTGGGTTGGGCATGGAGAGGTGCTGTGTAGATGTATGCTGCTATTGTTATTACTTGCAGTACCCAATAAGTTGCCTGTTGAGTGAATAAATGACCCTGAACCTGGGTAGAGATCAAATTATCAGTGTCCACTCTGGTATGGACTATGACTTGGGCTTGTTCGAGCCAAGGCTGATGCCAGACACCATACTTGGGCTGCACATATGGGCTGGGCACCGCAGGGAGCTGACCCTTTCTCTCTGGGCCCCTTCACCCAACTCATGAGGAACAAAACCGAGGGGAAAGAGGAAGAATAGCTGATTGTTTCTGGTAATCCAAGAGGTCACAGTGACCGGCCCAGGCTGCCCTGAGAACAGAGTGTGCCCAGCTTCCGAGGGCCGCCTACCCTGTTTCTGCTGGACTGAGGGTGGCCAAGGGCTGGCTGAGGATCCAGGCTAAGAGCCGGGAGCCTCATCCTCACTCAGAGAGGAAGAAGGCTGGCCTGCTGTGGGAGGAGAGGAGTGAGGATGAGGGTGGGGACAGCCAACAAAGGACTAGGTGAGGCACCAGCTGGAGCGAGGCTCACCAGGCTCACCTGAGCTCACTTCACGCAGGGCAGCTCTGGCCTCCTGCGTGTGCAATTGCAAATGAAGAAACCAAGGTTTAAAGAGCAGAAGCCCAAGGGCCTAAAAGTGTGAGAGCCTAGACCTCTGCCTGGAGGTCCTCCCAGGCCCTGCCGTCTCCTCCCTCTACCATTAGCCACCTGTGTGAGCGTGGGCGGGATACCAAGGCTCTGAACCCCAACCACAGCAACAGAAGCAATAGGGTGTTATTGACAGACAAAAAATACAGGTGTTTGTGGGGCTCCCTCCAATTGCCAGCGCTCATTCACAGACAGTGTCTCATTTAATTCTTAGGGAGAAGTAACCCCATTTTACAGATAAAAATGACCTAATCAGCACAATCCATGTCGTGGGACACTCTATCAGATAAAGGACTCATTTTCTTTCTCTTGCTCTCACACACACACACACACACACACACACACACACACACACAGACACACACAACGTTGCCCGAGCTGGGACTACAAGCATATGCACAGGCACCCAGCTAGAGAATTTACAAATGAGATTAAAAGATGTGTTAACCAATTAATGTAAAACCTATTGAGGGTCCTTAAACAAATGATATGTTAAATGCCAGTTATGAGACAAGTGGAAATTTGAGCATGGGGTGAATATTAGTTATTAAGAAATTTTTGTCAATGGTTTTAGATAAGATCAAGGCCCTGATATGTTGTTTTCTTGTGTGGTTTTTTTTTTTTTTTTTTTTTGGTAGGACTGGGATTTAAACTCAGAGCCTCACTTGAGCCCCTCCACCAGACCTTTTTTAAAATTTTTTTTATGATGGGTATTTTCGAGCTAGAGTCTCTGAACTATTTCCCTGGGCTGGCTTCAAACCATGATCTTCCTGATCTCTACCTCCTGACTAGCTAGGATTACAGGTGTGAGCCACCAGGAGCCCAGCTGTTTGTTTTTAAAAAAGAATTCCCAGGGGGCCCTAGGGAGCTTTCTGAAGTTGCACCCCCAGTAAAGGTGGAGCTGGCTCTTCTGGCCCCAAGTCCAGGCCCCCATCCCCTACCATGAACTCCTGCTCT